CTTGATTAATCAAGAAAAGCTAAACACGGACGCGTTTCGGGCAGTTGGCCCTCATCATCATTTTTTCATATATACAGTGTTTGAGGATTTATACTGTAATGAATCCAATTTGAATATAGACCTCTTGTTTATACTTTTATTTATATACCAGATTGTGTTGAAACGTAAGTTATTGTGCTTATAAATAAGGTCTTATATGAGAATTCCAAATTATTATAGACACGTATGATTCTTTGTAAATTACACAATTTCCTACTGCCCTTACTGCAATGAAAAATTAATGGGAGGGCTTGGTTCATCAGTGATTAACCCTCACAGCGGTTTCGCCAGTTTTAATCTACCATACCGCTGTTATATTGCATTTTTAGGTTTTCCTTTTATAATAATACTGCTTTTAGACTCTTGGAATGGTATTTTAAATTAACTATGGACATAAGATTTGAGGACAGTAGAAATGCGTGTATTTATGATAATTTGTTGTTATTATGAAAGATAGTTCTTTGTCATTTGAAAAAAACATTTTAACGGCTCAGAGAACTTCCATATGTATATATCAGCAGCCGAGTGTAGCGACAAAGCAGACGACGCCCAGCTGGGCAGGCTCCAGCTTCAATTACCAGCCGTAACAGCCGAGTTATGAAAGATTGAAATCTCCCTGCTCAACCTTTTGTATCCTTAATGTATGGAACAGAGACATCATTTATAATTCCGACATAAGTTTCCTAGATTTCCTCATTCGTACAATAATTCCTTATTTTTAGACCCGCGCTCAATATATCTTTAAACAAAACCACACAACATAGTTTTGGCGTAAAATTTACTCCTTTGCTTTTCAAAACCTATATATTTACTATTAATATATTTCAAAGTCTGAGCATGCGCTTCTCTTTTACAGGTATTAATACAATATAATGCGGCTTATGATTGTAGAACGACATTTGAAAATTATCCCGCATTTGTTTCTTTTGAACGAAAAATCGAAATTTATTTTAAGGAGAAATAACGATTATTTCTAACCTTATGGATGAAGTATGAAAGGATGAATTGTGAAGAGTAATGATGAACTGAAAATGGGAATTCCCATCCCTGGACACTTTATTTTTCCGTTTATCATTACTCTTCACAATTCATCCTTTCATACTTAATCCCTAAGGTTAGAAATAATCGTTATTTCTCCTTAAAATAAATACGATTTTTCGTTCAAAATAAACACATGCGGGATAATTTTCAAATGTCGTTCTGCATTAATATTATTAAAAAATCTCCTATATATTTTCGCTTAATATAAATACTTTTTATTTTATGATTTATATGTGCTGCGAGTTATATAGTTTGTTACGATATATAGAAGAATCAAGGAGTGTACACTATAATAATGGAATTTCAATTATTCATAAAATCTATTGTAAGTAAAGGTGTCTTTACCTGTCCTCGATACGTCAGGTTAGATATATCCTAATCCAAGTAAAATCTAGTTTATCCTTGTTGTAAATAATTGATGATATAAATTCTGGTTCGACTTTCTGTTTCAGGAAGACCTCGCATTATTTATACAGTTTACCTTAGGTAGTTTAATGCTTCAAATATAATCATAGTTTTTTTCTTTATATGGAACCTCTTATACCTATTTGTTTTTTAATAAAAAGACATATATTGGATCAAAATATCATTTATTTTACCAATATTTCAGTTGGCTGAACGCCAACCTTTATCAAGGTGTATAACATATTTAATGTGTGTCAAAAACAAACTCAGCGCCACATAACGTCAATAGAATTAAGTATCAAAAATATTTTGTTATATTCAATGGGGAGAAAAAAATTGATATATATATTTATATTATGGACAAAATAGATTTTTGTAAAATATGGGTGTGAAAATTTTAAGAATTAACAATAACGCCTATTTTATATTTATAATTATTTGTTTTTACTATTTGAAATTTACTATACGAAATGAAATTTACTATACTATATGAAATGAATTATTTTTATGTGTTAATTTCAAAAATATCGAATTAGAGACTGTAAGGAATTTGAATGGTGAAGGTATGGGCTCTTTTTGGTGTCGACTAACACTCGCCGTGATGTTTTATAATTATAGACAATTGACAATTAAAATAATTTTTTTGACATCTTGTCAATACATTCAAAGTGCACAGTCTGTACTATTTAAAAACAAGATAATATACACTATATACACTATGTACAATGAATATGGCGCCTCCAACCGCTGCAGAGTTTGGTGGAGAATCACCAGCGGGTCTCCAGCGACACCACGTATTTCGTGATCTACGAAGAATACGTAGATCGCGTATTTCGCCGCTGAGGAGATGGTGATGGCGTGGTCCTCCCTTATAGAGTAGACCATCATGATGGAGTTACCAACACAATTTTGGATAACCCGTCAATACAACATTTAACTGAACTTTAAGTTACCCTGTATATTATATTATAAAGTTTTTTTCTGGATATGCAAACTTTTCAGATATATTATCATATACTTAATATTTGGTGATTTTTTGGGAGGATATTTATCTATAAAAACATCTCTTCCTTTAAACTAAACATCAAATCTAGACGCTATCTATTGACTGTCGCTGTAGACGAGCGGCCTCAGGTCGGTGACAAGGTCACAACACCAGCTTTGACAAACTGAGAAGTGTCCACCTAACGACCATGGTTTCAGACTAATGGCTCTCTTCAGCCAAGGGCAGACTTTATTCCATGAGATCCACAAGGAATCTAATGGAATATTCCATTACAGCTGGTGTTGTGGCTTTATCACCGACCTGAGGACGCTAGTTTTCGGTGGCTGTCTATAGATGGCGTCTGGTTTTGACGTTTATTTGACGGGAGAGGGGAGCTTCATCGTTATACTTTATAATGTACATCAATTTGAATGTAATAGTGCATATATCGCGTGGATATGCACAATATATTTGATATACTATATGCAGATTAGGAAATTATGCTAAATGTAGAGTGTGTAATGAATTATTAGTGAATACCTATTTCGTGAAATTACTGATCATATCAACAATCAGTATTTATATAAAGGGAAGTTATTTATTTATACTACAAGGTGATGCTTGGTAGATTTATCATTTTCTGAATCTTTACTCATTGATAGTAAGTCAATAATTATTGTCATTATTCAATTCCAATTAATTACACAACGTACCTTATAACAAAACAACATAAGGCAGCATTGCTGCTGCTGTGATAGAGATGCATGAAGACATCTGAGGCTCTTCATTGGACACGAAAACAACAGAAAATTGACATGGACCCAGAAGAGCAGCTTTACACACCCAAGATAGTGGACATTGCTGCTGCTGTGATAGAGATGCATGGAGACATCTGAGGCTCTTCATTGGACACAACAACAGAAAATTGACGTGGACCCAGAACAGCAGCTTTACACACCCAAGATAGTGGACATTGCTGCTGCTGTGATAGAGATGCATGGAGACATCTGAGGCTCTTCATTGGACACAACAACAGAAAATTGACGTGGACCCAGAGCAGCAGATTTACACACCCAAGATAGTGGACATAGCGACTGCTGTGATAGAGATACATGAAGACATCTGAGGCTCTTCATTAGACACTACAACAACAGAAAATTGACATGGACCCAGAGCAGCAGCTTCACACACCCAAGATAGTGGACATCACTGCTGATGTGATAGAGATGTATGGAGACATCTGAGGCTCTTCATTGGAAACTACAACAATGTAGTTTTGTTGTTTTAAATAAAGGGTGTATGTCTCATAGTGTTGGTGTTGGCTTGATAGGAATACACGAGGTAGACAGCAGCAGAGTGGAGCCTTATTAAGGAACAAAATACAGTCCTTAAGAAAATAAGGAGCTATCATTGTTTGGTATATGTCATAATTTGCCTAATGCCCAAGAGATATAATTTATTCTCGCCATAATTAGCATGTTAAATTGTAAATACAAATTCATCCATCTATAAATACACTGTACAAAATAAACGTGGGAGCCAGCGCGGGCGAATGCTACGGCCACCGCCGAGTGCACGCGTTCACGAGTGTGGAACAAATTATTTTTCGAAGCATACATGCACAACGGCTGCGCCCTTCCATTCGACCACGACAGATACGACATATATTATTTAAATAATTGAAAAATACATGCCCTAATATTAGTATTTTAGATAGAAGAGCCATATAAAAATGCTTATCTGAGCTGTCAATATATACCTTTTTTTGTAATATCAACACCTGATCGTTACTATTTTTTCTTGAATGTATTTTTGTCTATTAATGGATTAACTTTGAACCCACTTATTTATAAATTACTAGCGGATGTGTACCCGGCTTCGTCCGGGTTTTATCCGAGTATCAGTACTTGGTTAATTATAATTTTTCTTGGTTAAAAGTGCGGCAAAAAACTCTTCCAGATTTAACTCTGTCCTGTTCAAATTTCAGCGAGATCAGTTACATATTGAGGGCGTGCATAGCCGACAAACATATATATATGTACAATTCTTAAAGTTACACCGCATAAGTTTCTTTTTTTTTTGTGAAAAATCAATATTTATTTCAAAGAGAAATATTTACTATTTCTAACTTTTTTTAATGAAGTATGAGAGGGTGAAAATATGAAGAGTAATGGCGAATGGAAAAATAAAAGTGTCCAGGGGCGGGAATCGAACCCACAACCTTCTGCTTACCGGGCAGGTGCCATGTCCACTAGGCTACCCTGGACGTATTCCTCCGTTCGTAAATAATATTTAAAGTAACTTATAATACATTATAAAGGACTGCGGCGAGTGATTATAAACAATTCTTAAAGTTACACCGCATAAGTTTCTTTTTTTTGTGTGAAAAATCAATATTTATTTCAAATAGAAATATTTACTATTTCTAACTTTTTTTTTGAATGAAGTATGAGAGGGTGAAAAACTCGCCGCAATCCTTTATAATGTATTATAAGTTACTTTAAATATTATTTACGAACGGAGAAATACGTCCAGGGTATCCTAGTGGACATGGCACCTGCCCGGTAAGCAGAAGGTTGTGGGTTCGATTCCCGCCCCTGGACACTTTTATTTTTCCATTCGCCATTACTCTTCATATTTTCACCCTCTCATACTTCATCCAAAAAAAAAGTTAGAAATAGTAAATATTTCTCTTTGAAATAAATATTGATTTTTCACAAAAAAAAAGAAACTTATGCGGTGTAACTTTAAGAATTGTTTATAATCACTCGCCGCAGTCCTTTATAATAATATATATATGTTCCCGGCTTCGCCCGGTTTTTACCCGAGTAAAAGTGTGCCTAACGACCATTTGCTAAAACGATTCTAGCAAACATCCAATCCCTTCTGAATCTATACTTGTCTATACTCTCGATAATTTGAATTTTTTTCATTGTCCCTTGAAAAATACTCGATAAGTTGAATAAAATCAATATTAATTGGTCCACTCGGTAATTTGAAGTTGAAGGAATAGTATCTTGCCACAAACGAATATTTGCAAATAACTGTATTTAGCGAATGTACCAGGCTTCGCCCGGTTTTTACCCGAGTAAAAGTTTGCCTAACGAATATTTTTTTAAAACGATTCTATATATAGATTTATAAACGTATATAATAATTGTTATATGCGTTTAAATATATTTTAGAAACGCATAATTTTTTTGAAAACATTTATTAAATTTTAAATAAGATATTTTTTCTAAATATTTATTTATATTGAAATGCCAAGTTTTTTTACAGCGTCATTGGAATATTATATTGCTAAATCCTCAAATTAAATATTAAATTTATTATACTTGGAACACATTTTAGCATTTTCACAATTTATAAAGGTAATTTCACCAGATTCCGCTAGAGGCGCTGCTTGCGAGTGAAAGTAGAAAATTCGCAAATAAAATTGCGACGAATATTTATTTCAAATCAAATTCAAACCAGAAACCTTCCCAGTAGTATAGTAAATAACTTCCTAAAGTTTCACCGTGATTGGATAATCCTACCTTTTAAAAACATTCACGTGTAAACAAACTAACAAACTACGCGTAAAATTATTAACCAATCAAATTCATTTATCGTCGCTATCAGTGCGGCGCCAAGCGGTAAAAGGCTGGAATTAACGCTTTTTGGTTTTAATTTTTTTTTAAAAGCACATTAACCTTTTTAGTTTTTTGAATGGCCTATATGTTAAACGAAATCTTCAGCTACCTACATGCGAAATTTCATAATGATTGATTCTGTAGATTTTGCGCAACACGATAACAAACATCGATTTTGGATTTCATTTAATAGATATAATTATATTATCGCTGTGTTAATCTTATATTGTCTAAATTCAATTGGTATATTCCTTAAGTTGAATATTTATTCTTTATTAGATATATATCTTTATAAATTTAATTTCCATTTATCATTAAAATTTTACACATATAAAAAATTTACTGACAATGTATTTCTTTTAAATATCATATAATATTATCTCTACAGACCTTACTGCAATGATATAAGTTATTGAATGAAAGGGGTTGGCTCATCAGTAGTGAACCCTCTCAGCGGTTTCGCCATATTAATCTCTAAACCGCATTACTATTGTATTGGATTGGTTTGGAATATACCCTGTATTTTCTTGGTATATAATACAGGAGTTGCAATTAACTCTCGTGTAGGAAAAATGACACTGCCTGGTTTATTTACCTTCATAACGCTGATATAAAGGAGGGTCGGTGGAAGGATTGCCTAAACCGTTAGATTTGGACCGCTATGACCCGAGCTCGATTCCCGCATTGGGCACTTTTTTTTCTGATTTAAAAAAATTCTCCAAAGGCCCCCGATTCTTCCAAATGTCCAACCCCACTAGAGAGTGTAAGTAACCAAACGGTGCTCTTGCATATTTTTAAAGTGCTAGCCGAACTGATTTCTACATTTGTAGACATGTGGTGCACTTACAGTAAGAGCAATCCCCTACTTCTATCCACCATGATTATCATGGCCTGTACCACGTGTACTAGGGATAAGAAAAAAAAACACTGACATAAATCTCTGGTTCTATTCCATTCCACGAGGTCTTTATTCAGCGATATAGCCAGGATATGATAGCTAGCTTACAAGCCCCTGAAAATTAAGCATTTCAAAGAATCTTTAAGCAACAACCACTATACATATCTCGTACTTTTATCGTTTTATTTATTTTTAGTCACTTATTACAAGTCAAATGTTATTAGTCTTTATAAGCATTGTTGTTATGATTCTGTAGTTGCAATTACTGTAAGCGCACTCATATGTCTATATATGTATAGACCAGTTCTACATTTGCATTTACAATATTCCATCACCCTGTTATGCCCAGAGCAGCAGCTTCACACACCCAAGATAGAGGACATTGCGACTGCTGTGATAGAGATACATGGAGACATCTGAGGCTCTTGATTGGACACGACAACAACAGAAAATTGACATGGACCCAGAGCAGTAACTTCACACACCCAAGATAGAGGACATTGCGACTGCTATGATAGAGATACATGGAGGCATCTGAGGCTCTTCATTGGACACGACAATAACAGAAAATTGACATGGACCCAGAGCAGTAACTTTACACACCCAAGATAGAGGACATTGCGACTGCTGTGATAGAGATACATGGAGGCATCTGAGGCTCTTCATTGGACACGACAACAACAGAAAATTGACATGGACCCAGAACAGCAGCTTTACACACCCAAGATAGTGGACATTACTGCTGCTGTGATAGAGATGTATGGAGACATCTGAGGTTCTTCATTGGACACAACAACAACAGAAAATTGACATGGACCCAGAGCAGCAGCTTCACACACCCAAGATAGTGGACATCACTGCTGATGTGATAGAGATGTATGGAGACACCTCTCACCATACACTCCCACTAACTGACGGTGAATTTCGACCGGAGAATTATTTTTCGCATTTAAAAAGCGTATAACTGAGCGCAACTCGCACTTGGCGGGAGAGCTAAGGGGAAGCTCCATCGGGAACGGCTGCCAGACAGCGACTGAGCGTCCCAAGATCACCGGGAAGGTTCTAGACGGTAGAGGGTGAACCAAGAAAGGCAGCGGTGTTGTCGGATTTCACCAAGCAACGCGCGTTCGGAAATTATTCCTTAGAAGACCTTACTTTCTACTCACCCTCGTATCAATTTAAAATATTATTTTGTAAAATTTGGGCTGTAGATGTTCAATCATAATTTAGTCAGGCATTATTTATCATATACTCGGGTTTCAAGAATAACAATATTTTTCTGTTAATAAATTTTATCTATAAATTAACAAATAATAATAACTATTTTCGATTCAAATATTTATAAAAATTCAGATATTATTGATTATTTGACATTGCGATTATATATATTTATATCAGTCTGTCCCAAGCGGACAAAATTCAACAGCCTTATACACGATCGTGGTTGTGATTTTTGATAATGATTTTATCAATTTGCTGATTTTTTATTTTTCTATATTATTATATTATTTCCCATTGAGATCATTCACTGATCTAAAATATGGGTATTTTTACGAATTGTTCTGCAGAAGTTTCAAAGAGAACCATTTTTCTAGATCATTTAGAAAGTAATATAGACACTTTGTATATAAAAAGAGTTTTAAGAAATAACACCTGACTTGAGGCTTGAAGAAAGAAAATAAAATTCTTGCTTTCTTATTTAGATAATAAAAAAGGTACCAGGCAGAAAAGAACTGATTTATATAGCTGTAAGCAGCGCCATCTGGAGGCCAACTTCGTAGAATTGTTCTAGAAAATATCTTTATAATTATATAAAACATATATATATAGTATTGTTTCAAATGGTACTGTCGACGTATGGATAAACTGGCAGTCGTGTACGTGAGGCGAGTGTTGATGTTCTTCCCACACGTGGACAACAAGAAGCAGAGGCAGGGCTAGATGTTAGCACCGAGAGTGATCCGGGACAGCCCACGGGACAGAGGTAGAGGACATGATACAAACTTGGATGCTTATCACCGAGACATGGAGAGAGATACCGAGAGAAACAGAAGTGGTCTGTAGATGGACACACTGTAGAACATACTGCCGCTGACCCCCTGATAAAACCTGTCCTGTTTACAGGGGTCGTCTATAAAAAGCCCTGGAGGGGGCCCCATCTGGGCGTTGGCATTTTCCTCTCTCTCTGCCTCCAGCTGCCACCATCTGACCGCTCTGGCGTTTTATTTTGACGTCACCAATTTAATTTAAATACAAATAGGGCGTACAGGATATATTAATAAAGATATAGCATATATACAAAATATGGGGGTGGTAGTAAATAGGAACAGTGTACATTTTAATAGAAGGGTATGATCTTATAAAGTATCGGCTCTAACTAATTGGATGATATGTGAAATATACTAAAAGTGTCATTATTATACAGGTTAAAATATACGATATATATATATATGTTATATTGAAATATATATTTTATTAGAAATGTTATATAAAGGTATTATTCAAAATGTTATATTAAAATATTTTATTTATATTTATGTTAAAGTCATATTTTATTTAAAATTATAATTTCATAGATATAAATACTCTGTATAAATCGACCGCCAGAGGTCACGCTTACCATATAAAGTCACGTTGTTGTTCTTCCCCGCTGGTCGGCTCAAACCATATGTAATTATGTAAATATTCTTTGTTTTTCATATTTTTATTCTTACGCCTTAAGCCAGGCTGTACTTGTACAAAATTATGTTTTTAATATGAATTCATTTCTCAGCTCAATAAAGCAATATCTGATCAAAACCATTATTCTTTCAATATTATAGCCACGACTGCATCACCATTACAATAATCCTCAACATGATCAAATATCAAGCAGAAACACTCAACAATATTTTTTTAAATATAATATATATATTATATAATCTAAAATACAATTATTTTATTTTTTAAAAACATATTTTATTTTCATTCATTGACTGTTATATATATTTGACCATAGATGCAAAACATACCACTTTTAATTATTATTGTTGTAAATAATGTATATTTAACCCTACCTATCTTTTATTCACGA